AATGCCGAGGCGCGGGGTAGCTTCGTACTATAAAACTGGGCCCATGGCACGGGCTGTCAAGGAATCTTCTTTTTTTGTGTGTTCTGGTAGGTTGCATTTACTAGAAACTTGCAGAAACTTCTTTACCCCAATGTGCCACTAAAGCTCCCTGCAGCCGGTGTAATGAAGACGATATATTCTGGGAGGCATCCTGATTTGAGAGTGACGGCTGCATGTATTGGTGCAAATGAAGTGGCAGCAGAGTTGCCAGTAAAGCCTATTTTGTCCTTGTGATGCAGAAATATGTCATGTTAATAACAATTATTTTCACAGTCACATGTGACTGTGGAAGGGCTGCTATTGGGAGAAGTCCTGAGAAACGAGGAAGAAACTAACTGGTTTTGCTTTCTTGTTTCCGAAACAGCCCAAAGGAAGGAGGGTGGTGCCCGGCGAACTGGCGCAGCAGCAAAGTGACACTCTGCTCCCGTGGCACCAGCATCAGAGCGCTAACGGCCTGCGGCGGCAAAAGCGAGACTGGGTCATCCCGCCCATCAACGTGCCGGAGAACTCCAGAGGACCCTTTCCGCAGCAGCTCGTTCGAGTAAGTTAAAAAAAGTAATAGAAATAGTAATAATACTACTGATGGTCATCTTGCAGTGGGTCTAGTGAAGCGGTAGGTGTGGTCCAAGCTCACGCACGGGCCGTCTGGCTCCAAGCACGGGCTCTCTGCTCCTCCTCCCTCGCGCGAGAAAAGTTGCCTTTTACACATCGCTGAAGCGCTCCTTTTCCAAAGCGACTCGCCCCAAATTTCCCTCCTCCAGCTGTACGGCAGCCTAATCGCCTCCTTCCAGCCAGTCCCTCGAGAGACGCTGGCGTTGCTGCCAAGATGGCACTTTGCCCACGCTCTCATCCAGAGAAGGGCTGCAGGTGTGAAGCCGGGCTCGGTGACACCCAGCGGGGAGGGGGTGCCGCGTCCGCGCCTGCCCCCGCAGAGCCCGGTACAGATGCGCAGCGGGGCTGGGGGCGGTTGGCTGTCTGCCGCCGCCGCAGATGGATCCCTCGTCCTCTGTATGTTGCTGGTTTCTTTCTTTACAAGGATGATCTCTGGGATCAAGTTTACCCATGTGGGGTTTCTGTGATGATTATTGGATGACAGGAAAAGAAAAAGAAGGGAAAAGGGGCCTTTGACAGACACATTTGGTGGATATATTATTGCTGTTGATAAGCCTTAGCAAAATACAAATACATGTTGCTGTTCCTCTTGCGGGTGCCGGTTTCAGTTTTTAGAGCGGTAGAAAGATCAGCTGTAAAAAAAGAATTCCCGGGCCGACTTTTTCAACTCTTCCCTTGGAAGCAAGTGGCAACAATTATAAAATTTCAGAAGTTGTTTTGAGCAACAGTGGAGTGTCAGTGGCATCCCTTCTCAGGAAGTTCACCTAGTCCTCTTGAAACAGTGCCCGGATTCAAATGAGTTGTCATCATTACCTGTTTCACACTGATTAGCTGATACTCTTCTGCACAGCCCATGTCTGGGAGGAAGAAAGGAGCTTGACGAGCCTTTGTGAAGTTCAGATGAACTTTGCAATGACTCATGCGGTGACTGAAGGTGCATGTTCCCATTTCACCAAGTACTGGGTAAACTTGATCTGTTGGTGTCATTTCTTTATGCAATTAGGGAACTATATGACAAGGAATAAAAAAGTAGCAGGTGGCAAATATCGTTCTGTCTGTCCTGGAAAAACAGGGGGGAAGCCAAGGAGTCTGTGTGGTCAGCAGTGCTGGCTATGGAGTCACCAGTTAATGTGTTGTCCTGCTAAGCTGAAGAAGTGTCTGAAGAGGAGAATAACCTAATGTGTCAAAAATATCTTCCTAAATCCAAATTATTGATTAATAATTTAGATTAAGCCAAGAATTCCTGTGAAAAATAAGCAGAGTATTTGCAAAATGAACTTATGCCCTGTCCCACTCCCTGCTGATTTCTTTTGAGCTATGACTAGTCAGCGAGAGGACAACTTGGCACCAGCTTACCATGGCAAATTCGCTGATTTATAAGGACTGAAGTCTCCGTGGCACATTTTCCCCCTACAGTCTGCAGATGAAACAGGACTCAAGAATGCAAAACTCCAGTAGTAATGAAAGTGACAAATAATAAATTTTATATAGGTACAGAAGAATTTATATTCATCACTTAAGCTACCGATAACCTTGGAAAGATCGCCCAGCTGAGGGAAACACAGAGCTCCCAGATTTTCAGCAATATATTCCATTGCAGCTTTTAAATACAGATGCCAGAGGAAACACTGAAAATGAAGGAAAAAGTGGGGCGGGAAAGAAAGGAATGGCTTACAACGGGCTGCTTTCCTTTTCACCTGACAATACAGAAAGTATCGTACCGACAGGGAAGATGGTACAAAGAGCGCAGCTCGGTTAAGCGTGAGACCCCCGATGTTTCAGGCTTGGGTTGAGTTCCTGCTCATCCGCAGCATCTGGCCCCCGAACGTGAGGCTTGGGTGATCCCTAGCAGGGGTTACAGCCTCCCCAGTTAGACTTTGCTCTGTAATTATCCAGAATAGGACAAATCAACGTCTTCAAAGACCAGCACTATCTGATTATTTCCATCCACATAATCTTCAGATTGCCCTGGAGCATTCTGCTGTCTCCTAGATCTAGGTAACAGTTTTGATCTGATTTCCCATGCTTTCGCTCATTGGGCACTGAGTATTTTTGTGTCCATCTGCTCCCAAACTGGAGCTAGAAATGCACATGTGAAGTTACAGCTCCGGTCCCGTTTGTACGGAAGGACGTCTGTCACGGTTTTCTCTGCTACTTTACATAAAGCGTTCAAACCTGATGCCAGTACCCGGACGCTGAACTTTTCTCAGTCCGGAGAGCCCTGCTTCAGCTTGCGATTTATAGGTATAACTAATGGAGACCGGTCCCTCCATTATGCTGCCTTTGGTTCTGGTTACCTCCAAGGAGAGGGAGGGCTGGCATGGAAAATCTGAATATTAAAAAACCAAAAGCCCTACCAGATGTACATTTTCGTAGTACCACTCGCTGTTTGCGTTTTTATAGGTCAGGCTAATTTGAAATGCATAGGCAAATCTTTCGGGTTCCCTCCTACTCCTGCTTCCTATTGTGAAGGTAAAAATTCCATTTTATGGAAGTTGATTAGTTACTTGTCAGTATTTTTAGCAAGGCTGTGCCTGAATGAAGTTCAAATCATAGCAAAGGTGAATGCAGCTTGATGGGAGCCACATACCTCGAAACGCAGCCCTATCTGGTTCAGCTGGGATCAACTATAATTCTCTGCTCATTAAACCATTTCATTCTGATAAAATACAGTAAATGAAAAGTTTTTAGAAAAAAAAAGAAAAGAGGAAGACGTCACAAAATTATCCCTGCCAAAAAACCCTCTGTTAATTACAGGGTTTTTTCTTTCAAAGGAACATCCGTGTCTGTTCATATGCATCAACCGCACTAACTAGGAAATGTATTTCAGAAAAATAATATGTAAAAAATAATAATAGGAATTTCTGATTAGTTTTGGCTGCTGAAAAGATTTACTTATTCCTCAAAGAGTTTAAATAAACATCTGATGTGTATAAGCTAAGAATAATTTTTCTTGGTATAAAAAATGTTCTGCAAATTTTGGTTTTGTCTTTGAGCTGAGAAAACAGTTATCAAATTCTATTGATACATGCTTATTTATTTTGCAAACATTTATTGGGTTTAATTTCCTTGTGCTTCACTTCCACCTTTGTATTAGGAATAATATTTTACATGCTGTGAAATATTTTACTGTAGTGAGTATAATTTCATTACTAATTATCAGGTACTCTCATTATTATAACTATGAGGTCCATAAAAATGCCTATTAAAAATACAAAAACAATATGAAATCCCCTCCTTCTCCAAGCAGATGACTCATGCAGGCACACTGATCAACTAAGATAATATATTAAATAGTTGTGCCCTTGCTGAGCACCATCTATTTTCTCACCAACGCATCTTTTTAGCTACACATGTAGCTGATTCTTAATTATCTATTATCTAATTGCCTATCAGCTAATCTTGTATTTCATCCTCTTTTGAACTTCAGAAAGTATCTCCGTGTTGGATCCACATGCAAGTCTCCAGCTCCTTCTAACGGGAATCTGGAGTGAGCCTTCAAGGCTGGAGTCTTGGCCCGTCTCACTGGGCTGCGTGAGAATCGTTCATTTAAAAGACGAACAGTCTTGTGCAGGACCGGCCTTTGGTCATGGCATGCATAGATAATGATCTTCTCTGTCTCCGCAACCATGTTCACCTCCGTGAATGCTCCAAACTTGCAACTTTTATCTCCACGACCTTTCTAGAGCTCATATGAGCCGCCTGTCTCTAACTTGATCTGCATAGACCCTAATTCTTCCAGCTTGCCTTATTAAATTTGGAACTGAAAAATGTGGTATTTGCCCATTAGATCTCTTACAATAAACAACTTGTTCGATCTCATTACACCAGCACGAAAATCCACTGAGGATGACCGAGGCAGGATCTTGGTGCTCTCACAAGCTGCCTTGATTGCGTGCTGCGGGCACAGCATGCTCTCTCGTCTCCGAGCGCTGGTGATCTCAGACACAAGAATACTAGACATAATCTAATGTGTATAACAGGGAATAAGAGGGAAGGATGCATTTTATGTAAATTTAATCAGAAAGTCCTGAAGTGGTTTGGAAAGTTGGCGGAATATAATATACCTGAAGACTCTTGCGTTGCTTCTTAGCAGAGGTGTCGTTGATTGGTGGGGTTTCGTGCGGCACGGTGCATGTTAATGGAGCAGAGGGCTCTTCTTAGCACACCGGAAAACCCCGTGGTGGATTCATGGGTGGGTTTAGCACATCTTAAGCTTTACGGTGAAATTGGATACTTACTATGACAAAAGTTGATAGCACACTCAAGAGCTCCACAGCCTATTTGTGTGCCGCAGCGCGGGAAATAGGTGCAGTGAGACGGTTCTCCAAAAGTCTAAAATCCCGGTGTTGGAGATACACATGAGATACTGAGCTGTGAAATCCCCGCCGGCTTGGACCATCAGCCCTCAATATTGCCATTTCCTTTGCTCATCACGGCTATTTCGGCAGGCACCTTTGCACTGGTTTAAACAGTTTTGTTGTAGGAAGTCCCTCATGCCTCCTCTCTCAGCCGCGTTGCTTACTGCTGTGAAATTGGCAGTTCAGAATCCATTAGCTCCCAGCTGCAAGACAGATGGCATCTGTCTGTGGTGAGAGAGGGTTTGTTGAGAAAAGGCCTTGCAAATGCTTCCCAAAGGACATCAGACCCTACTTTTCCTGAGAGAGACGTGGACAGCCTTGATTACAAATAGGCCTAGAGCTTCCTTGTTCTTCGTGGGAACAGGTGTTTCTTTTGCCTGACCAACCACAAAAAAACCCGTAATTGCTCATTCTGGCTCTCAGTACATCTCATCTTTGGTACCCTGTGAGCATCACCAGCTGAAATTCAGAAATTAGGCGATTTGGTCTTTATTGTGACAGCCAGAGAGAGATAAGGAGCAGGCCTGGAGGGTGGAGAGGAGGTGGGACGCTGCGTGCTGCGTTCTCT